CGGCGATGGGCGCCAGGCCGCGCCCTCCGCGGCGGGGCCGGTGTCCCCCTCCACGTCCCTCTCTCCTCCCCTTGTTTTCATTATTTCCCCCTCCTTTTCTCCTTATTTATTTATTTCCCCAAGGCGATCATGCTGCTGGGAGTCCTGGCGCAGCCCGCGCGCCGTTGGAGGCCGTTGTTGGTGCCCGGCGGCCGCAGGCGCCTCTGGGGGTGGCTGAACGCCGTGTTCAACAAGTAAGGAGAAATCACCCCAAAATGAGGCGGCCGCGGCTCTGACACGGTCCTTTGGCACTCTACATGCCCCCAAATCAAGTATTTGTTCAGTATTATCATCCCGAAGGCAATAAATCTGCCATGTTACAAAACCAGGTAAACGTATGTAGATATATATGTACTTTTCCTTGTGTTTCGGCAGGGTGGACCACGAGCGCATCCGAGCCGTGGGGCCCGACAGGGCGGCCTCGGAGTGGCTGCTGCGCTGCGGCGCCCTGGTGCGCTACCAGGGCTACCAGAAGTGGCAGCAGGACTACAACGGGCTGCCCACGGGGCCCCTGGGCAAGTACAGGATCGAGGCCATCGACGCCACCGACTCCTGCATCATGTACAGGGGGTTTGACTACCTGGGTAAGGCCGGCGCAGGGGGGCAAAGAACCTACATAACAGGCTTAATGCTTAGGATTGAGTCCTGATATGAACAGTGCCTTTTTTTTTTCTTTAGAAAGATATAAAGATTTTTTTTTCTTAAATGGCTTTACAAGCATTCAGCAGGTGCTCAGATTTTGCTGGAGATGTGCTGTGAATCTGGGAGAGACTGGGAGATTCCTCAGGCCTTCCCTGAAGTGAGCTGAGCAAGTGGAACGGGGATTTGTGCTTTCCTTGAGTTCATTGTTTAGTATGTGATAGCACAAAGCATTGTTTTAAAATATCCTTCTTTTCTGTGAACCAAATGATGATGTGGGGGCCTATGAAGTCTTTAGTAGTGCTTGTTTGTTCTCCAGTCATTCATGACATCTTAAAGGAGCGGGGAAAAAAAGCTCTAAGTTTTTAATAAAGTAGGAGCCAGATTTGAAAAAAAAAATCTCAAGTCTCCTTTAAGCAATAGGGAACAGTCAAGAAGAGGAGGAACATGCTTTGTGTTTTTTAGTGGCAGTGGACCTTTAATTTTTATGACATTATGAACTCGGATTCATTTTTTATCGGTTACACTTATGAAGTTTTTTTATTTGTCCACGCCTAAGTTTTTTAAGTCTTACCTAAAAGACACAAACCCTGGTTCCTTGTTGAATTTTTATGAACTCAGATTCATTGCTTATCGGTTACACTTGTGAAGTTTTTTTATTTGTCCACACCCAAGTTTTTTAAGTCTTACTTAAAAGACACAAACCCTGGTTCCTTGTTGTTTGTGTAGCGGGGGAAGGGATTTGCATTTTTGAAGTCCTCAAAATGGACTTTGAGGATTCAGTGCATGTTCTGGCCCACAGTGTACAGAAGCAGGTTGCTGTGTGTTTCTGGAGACAGTGAAGTTACTAAATTTGCAAGTAAGACCTTCCTGAGCACTACTGGTTGTCCTCAGTATTCTGAAACAAACACTTGTTTTGTATTTACAGACGGCCTCGAACACGTTACAGAAATCAAGCTGCAGAAGTGTATGTACATACAGGACGAGTGTCTGCAGAGGCTCAGTGACACTAAGAATTTACAGAAGAGTCTCCTGCAGCTGCAGATCATTTCCTGTGGGAATGTCACAGATAAAGGCATCATTGCACTTCACAAGCTGACGTAGGTGAACGCTGAGCTCTTCTGTAGCACCCTGCTTCCCTGGCTGTTGGCATCCCTAGGTGCCAGCGTGTCGATTAACCATACACTGCAGCTCTCCCAGCTCAACGTTTGCTGCCAGGGCTGGCCTGAACATCTCCTTCCACCCTGAGCAGCCCCAGGTTGAGTCCTGAGGGCCCTGAGCACCCAGCGTGGCTGTGGCTGGGCTGTCCCAGGTGTTTGTGGAGCTGTGGGATGGCTGGGCTCGAGGAACTGACCTGAACAGCAGGGAGGGTCAGCACTGCCACTGCAGGAAACATTTCTGCAAGAGTAACTGAAGACAAGGGCAAGGTGCTGTGGGTAGCTCTGAAACAGCACGTGAATTAACACAAACGTATTAAGGAGCCTGTGTAGCAATGAAGGTTGTAGCTGAGAAAGCCAGAACCGTCTGCCACAGTCTTGAAGCCATAGCTGTGTTTGTATCTTCAGAGCTGAGTGCAGCACTTCTACTTGCAGTCATTTCCGTAATGTGGATTATTGCACCGGTTCCTGTGCTCTGCTCACACCGCCTTTGCAAGAGCAGGGGGAGCAGTATCAAATGCAGCTTGCACATTAATTCACTAGGCTACTTTTGCTTGAGAATAAGTAAGTACTGATCACCTTGATGCCTGCGACTGAAACTCCTTTCAGACATAATAAAAATTCCACAGCATTCCATAACTTCTACTATTTTTCTACACCCTTAACTGCTTGTTATCACTTTGTTTTCCTGTGGTCACTGTAGCCTCAGAGGGGTTGGGGCAGAGCTCTGGTTTCTAATCTTTGGGTTGGGAAGCAGGATGAGTGGGGAACTGGGCACTTTCTAGCTCTGAAGTACATCCCTTTGTGCTGCATTGAAGCATGGTCTTTAATTCAGAACTGTTTATTATGCAGGAATAGAGGCATTTATAAATGCATGATGTGGTGAATTGGAGTTTGAGCTACAGTAAATTATTAGTAAGGACTTCCTCTTTGGCTAAAACTGCTACTTAAATGAACTGTTCTAAAGGAAGCGTGGTGCTGTTGCGGGTAGGGAATCTCATTTTAAGCTGTGTAGGAGGACTGAATTATGCTGAACTAAAAACTAAGCACTTATTCTGAAAAAAAAGCTTCTGCTAGAACCAGAAAAATATAATTCTTTGGCTAATTTCTGAGTAAACATAAGTATAATAGACACTTACATAAGGTAATAGTTACTGATTCTTTTTTTTTCCTATATATTTATAGGAACCTTGAATATTTGTATCTGAGTGACCTTCCTGGAATAAGAAAGAAAGAATCTACAGTTCAGACGCTTCAGCAGGCACTGCCAAACCTAGAGCTGGAACTGGATTTAGAATAAAAGCAATTTCATGTCATTGAGAGGTATTTTATTTCATAGTATTTATCATATGTTGCATAAATTATGTAGAATATACTACTATGTTTCCAGATATGGAAATAAGTCTAGATGTCTCAATCCACATTTAAAAGCTGTATATAATCTTTTTGAAAAGTTATATAGTTGAACATCATTAGGTTTGAACTATACTGTGGATCAACAACAGCAAAGAAGGCAGGCTTCATACCTAGTACATGTTTTTAAGTTCTAGCTTTATCAGAAAGCTATTAAAATATCAATTATTAAATTAAAAATATTTTATTGCACAGAATGGGTGATGATTTAATAAAATAGCTTATAGGCTTTTTTTTTTTTTCCTGATGGGAAAATGGGCTGAAATACTGACAAGCAACCTAACCTTGTCCTAAAAATTGAGCTGATGAACTGAATGTATCCGCGGCTGTGGAGAAACAGGTAATTTTGGATATGCCCTTGCACACCCTTCTGCCTTATGCTGACAGGGACTAAATTAGTTGTGTGTGCCTCATTAGGTATGGCTATTATCAACCCTGCTAAATAAGAGATGATTCATCTTCAGGAGGAATATATTTTTAGTCAAATTCCTGGCTTTGATGCTCGAGGAGAGAAAGGCAGTAGGACATTTCTCCAAGACAGCAGATTTCATAATATTATCTCGGGCATGGCTACCTCTGTGCGAGTGGGAGTCTCTATCTGTGTCCTAGGTAAGGAGAGAAAGGCAGTAGGACATTACTCCAAGACAGCAGATTTCATAATGTTATCTTGGGCATGGCTACCTCTGTGCAAGTGGGAGTCTCTATCTGTGTCCTAGGTTACTACTACATCATATCTCCTAGTCCTGAGCAGGCAGGAGCTACGCCAAGAAATAAAATTCCCTGGAAAGGGTCCAGGAGCTGTCTCATATCTCTTTATAACAGAGCATAGGTGCTGTGTTACCTTGAAGCTGTGCAGGACTAGGTGACTGCTCATCCATACAGAAAAGCCTATCCCAAAGTGTTTTGGTATCCCAAAGCTTTTCGAGTATAACAGGAGCTTTTTGAGTATAACCAGTGTTCAAGATTAAAATACATTAATGCAGGCACCTGCCTACAAGGGAAGATACGAAATAAAGCTAGGCAGGCACACTGTGCAGATACACCGTGTGACCCACTGAAACTGCTTTTACTGTTGCTGTACTCACAATGGTTCTGGGAAATTAAAAAAAAAATTCTTCAAGTTTCAAGCAGTAAGAGAATCTTCCTTGTCCAGCATTAGAACTTTATACAGTGATCTACTGAAGATGCCAAAAAACATCCAGTAAACTGGAAAATCAAGCTACACTTATTTTATTCAATACCAACATGATATTACATCCTGAGATTACAACAAAAAAAAGGAAACAAACAAACGAAATATTTCTAATACATATACTTAGGAAGAATTCCTGCCTGTGTCTGGCTAATGTTAGAATTTAGTTTTTCCCAAACTGTTTTTTCATAAAAAGGGTTTCTGTAACATTGTAGGGAGGCGATTTCACTGTTGACCAAAATAGCAAATAAAAATAATCTTACAATGCATAGAATAAGCAAGCATGAGAAACCCTGAAAGACTAAAAATCGAGAGGTTGTATTAATTATTTGTTCCCCAACCTATAACAATGCCTCTTCAGACTTCCATCAAGTCCAAGTCATTGCAGCACTTTTACTACCCTGTGCCATGGGGGTGAAGCACACCACAGACCTGTCCTGAAAGCACTGCTGTTTCGGCAGGGAGACGGCCTGTCCTCAGCCTTGGCTCTGACCACACACACCCCTCGCTCACCGAGAGGACAGGGCATTCCTCTCAGGATCATCTACTTAGCACTGTGCAGGCCAGTCTACAGCAATACTACTGCTCTGACACTGTGCGGCGCTCAGACTAGTTTATTTGGCATGGCAGCACCTCTGCTGCCAAGTCTGAAATACAAGCAAGGGAGGAGTTTGTAAGTGCACGCTGCAAACGCTGCTTTGCAGTAATTCTGAACCAGTAAACAATCGTGAATTAAAGCAGGAAAAATGTATGTTCCTTTGTACACTGAACACTGACTAACATGAACCTGGAATTCTTTCTGTGCATCACTGTCCCTCCTTTCGTGGCCCAGAATACATAACTTTGCAGACCACTTTTGTATTTATCATAATGTACATTGATTTAGTTTTTGACTACATATCCTCCTTTTATAAACTCAGAATGACTTGGATTTTGAGCAATAAATAGTTCATGTTCTTCTGCCGTCCAGTTAGATGTTAGGGAAATGGTAGTTTGATTTCCTTGTTTTGCAGAAGTACTTCTTGTTGTCCAAAGCTGGTAGAATGTTACTACTGGTTAACTGAGGCAGATACTGTAACTAAAGCAGAAATTACATGTTTGCATTTCTTGGCAATGAGAATAAAGCATGCATTTCATTAAGAAAAAAAAAAAGAAATGTAAGTAAGTAATAAAACTACTCACACTGTAATTCTGCATTTTTGAAATTAAGAGTGCACTTGCTTGTGCTTTACAACTGGAGTGCAACCAGAACAGCTTAATAAGAATAATTTTTCCAGTAGTCCAGGGCAAAAAAAATGGTTACTGTCATTATCCCATGTCTTAGGATGCAATCCCACCATAGGTCACAAGGGGAATTGGGAATTTTGCCTTGCTAATTAGGGATCTAAATGCACCAAAACATACCAAAGAATTCCAAATTAAACAAGGCCATCAAAAGGCCACTTTGGCCAACCATCCTGCCAACTAAGAAGGCAGATTACTGGGTAAATCTGAGTTTTCACATCAACAAGAAACATGTTCTATCTTTAGCAGCAGAATAATTAATGCTACAATGAAATATTACCCCTGGCACGTGCTTCCGAGGCAGCCTGGCTGGTTTCCGAGACGCTTTTTCATGTTCTTTCCCCGGTTCTCCTGCTTCTCTAATGCTGTCAAAGTAGGGATGCTGCAGTAACTGCTCACATGTCTGCCTCTCTGCAGGGTCCATATGAAGGCAAGCCTTAGAAAAGATTAAGGAACACACATTAAGGAACACATTTGTTAAAAGGCCTGCACAATTCCATCTATTGAAACAGCCATCAAGGATCTGCAGGATACGTGTGTTAATTGTTTGTCTGTTTGTTACGGAATTCTATGAGTCTGACTTCTGAGTCAGCATGAAGCTTTCAAAGCTGTTAATTAGGCAGCCAATATGAACAATTCCCATTTCTGACATGGGGCAATACCTGAAATTGAAGCTAGAGGGACAGTTAGGATTGCATGGTGCAGTAACCATCAAGCCTCAAAAATAGTTAAGTCCTAAACTTTCATATGAACTAGAACAGCTTTCTTAAAGGTGTTGTGATCTTCTGTATCACTAGCTCTGTTGTTCCTGTGCTCAGAGCAGCTAGCAGTATCTATCACCATGCCTTCCTTCTAATTTGTACCTGTCCTCACAGTTTCTAGTCTGTGCCTCTCAGTAAAAGAATAATTTATCTTCCACTTTCATGGTAAAGAGAACAAAAAGGAATGGTCTCAAATTGCATCAAAAAGGAAAACCTTTCTTACAGCAAAAATGTTGAGGATCTAGAATCTTCACTGTGAGATTCTCCCATTATCAAACGTACTCAAGGTGATATTGGAGAAACACTCATTAGAAACGGTGTACATAGTGCTGCATGTGATTCGGAGGAAGGGCTGGGCTGAAAGTTCTCTCCAAGTCCCTTCTGGTTCTGTTTTTCTATGAATCTCTGATCATTCAGTACTTAAATCTCACCCATTCACTACCTGGGTTAGCAAAATTAATGGATAAGCTGAGCCTCAGTGCAGAGCTCCTGCCCCAGCTGTCATCTGCTTACCTTCATGAGTGCTAAAGCAGGGTATGAAATATTGGGGAATTTCACTTCTAACGGCTCCTGCGGGAAAAAAAAATACATATAGTTGTATTAACTAGTTTCTCAGTCGTCAGGGTGTAACACATTCCCCAGCAACATGACCTGTACATCGCAAACCATGATGTGCACATCACAAAGCACATCTCATCCCGTGTGCTTGGAGTGGACTTGAGTGGCATTGGGGAGGACGCTTAGGCTGCCCACTGTGCCACCAGAACGAGGGAAAAGAGGAGCAGCAGAAATAAAGGATTCGTTTGCTTGCTTTTACACAAGGTATCAATTAAAAAGTCATGAGGGGTTCACCTAGCTCCAAAACACATTCCAGCAGAGGTGGCAGAGAGCTGGGCAAAGCTTTTGAGCAGGGAAGAACTTGTCATGGCAGAGGATGGGCTAGCTGAGCTAGGGAGCTTCTCCAGCTCTAGTTCCAATGCCCCCAAGCCTACAAAGACATATGCTTAGTCTTTAAACTGAAAGCAATTATTCATCTGTTTAAAACTAAACATATGCTTATGGTTTTGTGGGATCAGACCCTTGGATTCTCCGTGGAGGACACAGTGTCCGTGTGTGTTTGCCGTTTGCACCAGCACAACCCCTTGGAGCTGGGTTTCTTTCACATGGAGTAGTAACCAGCTAAAAGGGGATATTTTGCGTGTGCCGGGACCATGGGGTCTTAGATCCTTGCCACAGGGTTTCAAAGTCATGGAAATGGTTTGTGCTTCACTCAGTTACTCCTTAAATGCACTCAGTTACTCCTTAAATGCTATAGCAAAGGGAGGTGAGGACATCTCTAACTGTATATTCTGGGGAAAGAGAAGCAGGAGCATTCTCAGTTCAAACACTGTGTCTCCTTAGCACTGTACATACACAAATACACTGCTGGTTAACACGAGGGAGCTCTTACCGTGTCCTCTGGGTCTGGAATTCTTACCCCACTGAAGTACTGGTTGGTGCTGAATACTTGCTGGTGCCTGGGAATAAGATCCCCTTTGATCAAAAATAAAAAGCAAATTTAGATTAATTTGCTGTTTTTACAGTGCCTGCATTGAACAAGTTTATTCTCCAACAAGGCTGACACCACTGGAGAGAACTTCTAAACAGAGATTCACCAAATAAGCTGATGAAGTTTTCAGCTGTGGAAACTAATAATCTCTACATCCACCCTGTGCTGCCAGGGTCTGAGCACGGGCTCTGCACGGAGCTGAGGGAACCACGGGCTCTGCACGGAGCTGAGGGAACGCGTCCCAGCAGCGTAGCTAGAGGGTGCTGCGCAAACAACGCCTGCAAACCCAGCCAGGCCTCGGCACGGAGCGGGGCCAGACACCCTTCCCAGCACCCAGCAAGATGAAAACGACCTCCCCTGCTGTCCTCTGCGTGCAGGAGCAGCCCGGGGCCTCAGGAAAATTTAACTCATTTGGGAGAATATTTTTTTGTACACGTCTGAGGATATTATACAAAAAAGGCACCAACAGGGACAAACGTCCCTTTTCTCCAGTGCAGCTTCGTGGCCCTTTATGAAGCTGAGAGGCCTGTAAGAGAACAGCTCAAAGCAAGCAAAATGTTAGGGTCAAATCCACAACAAAAGGGCCAATACAATCACAGAACCACTACAATTATACAGCCTTGATCAAGCAGCTCTTCTCTGGAAACTCTGCCTCAGTCCATCACCTGGATCAAAAGGGAATCACTTCTGATGGAAGCCCTGTAATTAAGAATAAATTATAACTCAACTAACACTTGCTCAAATGTATTCTGGAAGATGAAGCAATTAAGTTTAACAGTAGGTAACAATAGTTAGGTTTAACAACAGTCTGGCCAGTCGAGTGTTTCTGTGCTCCCCACAGGCCCTGCAGCTCCCACCCCAAGGACCAGGAGGGACCTCCAGTGGTCACCAGACACACTCTGCAGCTCTCAGACTGCACCGCCCAGGACCAGAGCCGCTTTCCAGAGGCCACACCAGTGCGGAACGGACTGGAAGGGCCATTCCAGGCAACTGCAGGTGATAACCCTGCCTCTGCATCCCTGCCCTTTCTTCTGCTGCAGCATGAAACCAGTTCTACCCCACAGATCTCCCGAAAAACAGTCTCCTCCCAGGTGGATGCCAACTTCAGCTCTCTAAATCCTGCAAGGAAACTAAGCAGCATCTGTTATCCAACCACAGAGTCCCCTAGAAGAGACCACACACGAGACCTGCTGAGAAAACCTGCTCCCAGAAGGGGATTGTAACCCTCTAAATGAAGCAAACAACTGCTACAGGGAGACATCCACTCGTCCGGCTGAAAGAAGCTCTTGCTGCCTGATCCCAGCTTCCACCACAGAGGAGACTCCAAGGGAAGCTCTAGTCCTGCCCAAGGCATCCAGCAGAGCTGGCATCCCTGGAGCGGTGCTGTTTTCCCGTCAGGCTCACATCCCCCAGGCCCCAGGAGTACTGGACACAGCGATTCCAGCTTCTCCATCCTCTGAAAACTACTTGTCTGCTGCTAATCCCAGGAAGCTCTCTCCAGTGCCTCTGTGTGGTCAGTATTTCCTCACAGAAATACATATTTCGGGCCCAACCAGAACGCTGACAACAGCATCAAACGCAGCATGGAGATGAGCCTAGTTTGGGAAATGCCGGGGGAACAGGAGTGTGTGCTGGATTCCTGCCCATGCCAGGGAGAGGCAGCTCATCCCAGCCCTGACAGATGCAGCGGAGACTCTCACCCAGGGTCCTCCGGATGAGGTAGAGCTGGTCCACGTCCGACCTGCCAGGCCACAGGGGCTCCCCGGAGAGCAGCTCCGCAAAGACGCAGCCGATGGCCCACACGTCCACGGGGGGGCCGTACTGGGTGTCTCCCACGAGCAGCTCTGGAGAGCGGTACCACCTCGTAGCCACGTAGTCTGTGTAATAATCGCTCGGCCCA